ACTAGACATGCACACATTAGGAGTATTATTAGCTGTTTTATAGGAGCAAAATTATGAAGATTCTTGACATTGTATAATTTGATAATGCTTGTAAGAAGTAAAGTAAATAAAGTATAAAACTAAGAAGAAAAGACAAAGAAGAAGGCAACATAATAAGAGTGACGAATGAATAACTCTATAACTCTAATACTTGTATAGTAGTGTTAAACAAACAATGAACCATGACAAAGTAAAGAAGATGAATAAGTTAAGTCATGTGTTGTCTCTACATTAGCGACCAATATAAAAGAAAAACTAGCTAAATTTCAATCTTTCAATTCTTGTTCATTTTTACAACCCAAAAAGTGGAATTCACGTATATGATGGTTATTGGCTTTGTGTTTTGTGTTGCAATTAGAAGAACAAATTGATGAAATCTAAAAGGCAATACAACACTAGTATAGTATGGACTACTATTCTACTAAAGGAGGAATCATATAAACGTTGTTTGATTGTTATCATATTACCTAGACATGTAGGTCCTTTTTGCATAGTGACACACAGGACAAGATTGTTGTGCATTACTAATTTACTATCTTCTATTCAAGCTTCATGTTTGTACAATTGCTGTGCATCACTATTCACTATATATCTTCAATTTAAGCTATTCTTTTTTTTTTTGGTAAAAGGTGTTGTTCGATAATAGCACCCTTATTCTTGAACATAAAAAAATTGCTCTTATTACTATATATTCACATAAAATAAAATAAAATATACATAAATCAAACAAATAATTTCCAAGATACTCCTCTTAACTATGAACCAAAAAAAATATGCATGGCGACACATGACACACTCTGAATGTTGCAGTGTCACCAAAAAAAAAATATCCTGTTATAAAACGACATTCTCATACTAACACACCACAATTATTCTTGAATAAATTCTACTTATTTTTCATCCATGGAGATGTTTTAGTCAAAACAAATTATCACATGCAATATTTAATTAAGTAGATCACATCATTAAGAGTGATGATAAGCTACTAATTTATTGATATATAATTTGTAAATGGAAATAAATAAAATGTCAAAAAGTTACTACAAGTATACTGAACCAAAAACAAAAGAAAGATAATTATAATGAGCAAGAAGTTAAAAAAAAAAAGAAAGAAAATAGATGAAGCTAGTTTGTCTGCAAAACTAGAAAATGCAATCCCCACTTGAAAAAATCCACTTGATTAGTCTGCCAAAAAAAAAGAGGAATTTTTATTTGTAGGGAAGCTTTGTGTTTGATGCGGTTGCTCAATTCTCATATATCTTTGACCATTGTAATCATTTGCTGACTTCTATTCATTGCGTTGTTGGCAACATGCATGCTACTTTCTTCTTTTTTATCTTTGTAATTTGCAAATTGAGTCTTCCTTTACAAGTTTTTCTTCTCCTAATCATTTTTTAAAGTAGTCATTGTATATGCATTAGAGGAGTAGAATTTACGTAAGTGGGGAAAGATTTCTAAAGTACAGCAAATTAGATTGCAAATTAGATTGCAATTTGGATTCAAAGGTGAATGTTGACATGGGCTTTAGCCTATATAATTGATGGACTCATTTTGGGTCAAATAGTCAGATTGGGCTATAAAGTGGGCCAGAAAAATACATGCCAATTTGTTAAAAACAAATTGGACTTTTCGTGATGGAATTTGACTTGGAACGCATGGTTTAGGGTGCTTAGTGCACCTAAGTCATTCTTAAGGTGTTTCGGCCAATTTCACCAAGAGAAAAATTAAAAGTAGGGTATTTCTAAAGAGAATTTCCTAAAAATTTAGGATTTTTTGTTAGAAACTACCTAATAAAACATAAATTTTATGATAAAATAACTATTAAAAAAGTTGTAAGAAACTACCTAATAAAAGGTTAAAATTTTATAAGATACTACCTTTAGTTGAATTTCCAATGTTGACCAAATTGTACGACGTTAACCCACCTCAAAGCACCCTCGAACCATCGCGGGGTGGGTTTTCAAGGTGATAAGGGTAGTTTGAAGGATTTTCGGCGTGTTTGAAGGATATTCCAAGTTGGTAAGGGTAGTTTCATGCTTTGGGATGGTGGTATATTTTGGGGTTAGAGGTGATGGTTTTGGGGTTGGAGGGTGGTTTCGGCGTGGTGGAGGCAATTTCAAGCCGGTTGTGTTGGTTTTGGGAATGAAAGTGGTGATTTAGTGGGTGTTTTGAAGTGGGTCAACGATGGAAATATGACAGAGGTAGTTGTAATATTTTACCTATTATTAGGTAGTTTTTTAAAATATTTTATAATTAGGTAGTTTCTTACAACTTTTTAATTAGGTATTTCTCACAAAAATTGGGTTTATAAGGTGGTTTCTTAGAAACAATCCTAAGATTTATTACACACTTATGGCCTGTTCTCTTACGTTGAAATTCAGTTCAGTTCAGTTCATTCAGCTCCTAATTTCCTTCTCTTATAAAATATTCATTTCAGTTCAGCTCAATTCAGTTCAGTTCAGTTCAGCTCAGTTCAGTTCAGTTCAATTCAGTTCAGTTCAGTTCAGTTCAGTTGGGTTCAGTTAATGAGAACAGACCCTTACTCCCTTCGTTTTTAAATATTTGCTCCATTTCTCCATGAGCGGAGTGTTATGAGAAATTGGAGAAAGTAGTAAAATATGGAGGTAGTGAGGTAGGTGGAAGAATAAAAAATTGTAAAAAAACAGAAGTAGTGGAGAGAATTAGAGGAGAGAGACTATGAAATTAATAAATATGATTTATACATGTTGGGTCCACTAGGTGAGAGGAATGAATTTAATATTGTAAAAGCTTTCCCAATAAGGAAGTGGGGCAAGTATTTAAAAACGGTTGAAAGAGGAAAATGGAACAAGTATTTAAAAACGGAGGGAGTATATTTCTAGAACTTGATTTTTTTTTACCATCCCTTCGCTAAACCTAAGTAACGCTACAAAGGCTTTAAACATTGGACAGTTACACAACATCCAACACATTTATCTCATGTATGCAAATGGTTATAATAAAATATCACACAAACAGGCATAGGCCATAAAACAAGCAGAACAATCTCAAGGAAGCAGCTCCCCAACAAATGATCGTGGAAGCAGCTCTCCACCAGAATTCAACAGATACAGCTTTCAAGAGGAAATTTAGAGGTCGATGAAGCTCTCAACAAGTTTTTCGAGCACAACAACCCTAAAGACAAGCTCCTCGACAACAACAAAGATCTTGATTCGGAGTCAACAAAGATTCAACAAGCCAGTCGCATCAACGGGGCAACAGAGAATCTAGATAGATTAGGTTTTTCTAATTTTGATGGTAACTCTTGTAAATCAACGAGGTCGTCGACAACTTAAGTGGGGGAGGATGTTAGAATCCGACTTATTTTGACGTATTAGTTTACCTTTGGATGCTTTCTTAGAGTTTTTGTTATGTTTTTTTTAGGTCTGAGGTTCCATTATTGTGTTAGTATTAGTGCAGTGTTTACCAGAGATTCTCCTTGTAATCAAATTAGAGCTCTTAAGAGGGTGAATGATTAATGAAATCTTAATCCTTCTACCAAATGTTGCCTTGTTTTTATGATTGTTTGTTGTTAGACATTTATAGATATTGTGTCTTATTTGCATAATAGCTTCCCTCCAAACCAACTTGATGCACTAAGAACTTGTGGTTCGGACCCGCTTGTGCCCACCTTGAAGTATCGGCCATCATAATTAAGCCTCGACCACCCACACTCCGTCGCCCAAATAGACGTGAGTGCTCCTGTGATTAATTGTCATTTGTGTTGCTTTGTGCTCACAAGCCCGTCTTCCACTCAAGGCTAGCGTTCTTGCCGCCAAAAGACTAGAGCACGCCACATGTTTCGGGGCCCAAACTCCCGGACAGTGACAAAGGGGCTTCTAATGTAGGGAATTTACCTATACATTTTGTAAACTCTAAAATGTGGTGCTTACATATTACTAAAATTATTTATTTATTTATTTCCTACCAATCAAGTGATCTACTATCCCTACGTTACTGGTTTGTCTTTCAAGGTTCAACTGTTTGGTAGAACCGTAGGAATTCTAGGAAGTAGGAAGCTAAGTAAATGAATACGTGATGAAAGAAAAGGACGTGAGTACTCCGTATATTTTAAATTGGTTTACAAGTGTTATGAGGTTAGAACTAAAATGAAATTAGGGTAAGTATGGGGTTGAAACTTAATACATATTTTGTGTTTGATTTTTATTTTTATTTTTATTCCCTTGGGTTTCCCTCCTCCCTTTGGGTTTCTAAATCCTTTATTTTTTCCAACAAGAAGAAAAGAGATTTTTTTTTTCAACAACAAGAAAACAGATTTCATTAATAAAGTATAACTAAACGGCACTAACATATAATTCCTACGGAGTATGAAAAAAAAAACCCTCTAAAAACAAGAATTTCAACACACACCTTTAGAATTATATACAAATAAATCCGTTAGATATGAATTTCACTCATTTCAATCCCATACGGCCAACCTCATACTTACTTAAAAAATATTGTATAAAATAATGGTTAGAACATATTGAAACTTAATTAGTACTCCGTAGATAAAAAAAATCCATTGTTTTTATTTTTTATTGTTTCGAAAAGAACGGACCTTAAAAGTTAAAGCACATTATTTTTTTTTTCTAGAACGGCTATCAAATCTCTTAATGAAAAAGAATTGAGCACCCATTCCCAATCATTTGAAAAGTAAGCAAGCTAGATAGTTCACAAAGACAAATAAGCCTTATATGAAGGCAGAGGATTTCGAGCCTTTTAAGGTAAACAAATCATAGAATGCCAACTGAGCGGCTAAAACCGTTGACCTGCCCACAATATAACACATTGACCAAGTTAACTCATAAAGTTCCATTTACAAAAAGTGTATGATATAAGGTAAACCATCATAGAAAATATTGTCACTAATTAATTGGTCAATATTAGTTGTTAGTTCTTAGTTGTTATTATCTTAATTTTCTCTTATCACTTACCAACTGATTTTCAAATTTTATATAACATGGTTATCCTTATATTTTCGCTGAATTCTAGGCGCAAGAAATTAAATGTAACAAAAATTTAATCCCAAAAAAATAAAAACATTAAAGAAGTGCCTCTCACATGGCAAGAATCATGAGTTCTTCATCATCAGTAACTCCAATTAATAACAAAGGTGATAAGAATCTTCAAGTTGAAGCAGATGATCTTCACAAGAATCCTGCACAAGTAATTATTTTTCGCTTTCCTCAATTTCATGGCTTTAAATCAAAGTTGTTTTAATCATTTTTACTAGTCATTATCATTTTATTTTATGTTATAGTCTAACACGTTACTCAATTTCTTGTTCTTTTTGTCTAACTTTATTTTCTTTTACTTGTACTACATAATTTTTACCACGTCAAAAGAAAAAAGAAAAAAAAAAAGGAAAAAAACCCATTAAGATTTGGTTAATTGGGTTGTTATTTTATGTTCTTGTTTAACTTTGATCTTGCATAAAGATTTCCTAAGAAAATCATTGTCAATGCAGGTGGAAGAGGCAAGAATCGCGGTTGATAAGCCAAAACTCAGTGGGAAGATTATTGGGATTGTGTTTTATTTGCAACTTCTTGTGATTTTTGTGCTTGCAGTGATTCTGATCATTAGAGGCTTCCTATCTAAGCATGCTCGTCGTCGGTTTCATCCATCGGAGTGGTATCCTCCGATGCTGATGTCTGTTGGATTGGCAGGAATCACTGGATTAGTATGGCAGACTGTAACGTACTATCATTCGTCGAGAGCTGTTAAATTGGCATTTTGGTTTAGTCCCCTGCTAACTTGTGCCATGGGTGTTCTTTTGATTTCTACTGGTTCAGCAGTTGGATTAGCTTTCGGAATTTTATCGATCTTAGTAGCTGTTATTCAATCGTTGTATGCTTGTTGGGCGAACCCACGGTTTAATCATGCTGTTTCTGTGCTATCTGTCTGCACTGCAGTTCCTCCACAGAAGAGTATCTCAATGACTGTTGTGTCTGTCATTGTATCAGTAGTCTACTCTTCGGCTTTGGTGGGTGGGATTGGTGGAGCTACTGCGACTGGAACCCATATTGATAAGGTTTTCATCGCGGTCATCATCCTTAGCATGACCTGGACACTGCAGGTGGTCAAGAATATACTGCAGGTGGTAGTCTCGCGTGTCAGGTATCTGAACTTTGCTTGTGGAGATGAAACAATGGATGTTTGGACATCTATGAGAGTGGCAGTGGGACCCATGGTGGGAACTGTCTGCTTTGGGTCTGTCTTAGTCCCGACTGTCACCCTTGTTTGTGGCTCTGCTAGGGGAATCAGCCTTATAGCAGGAGATTCTGATGAGTTCCTGTTTTCTTGTGCCGACTGTTACTCAGGAATTGCCTCAAGACTTGTGACATGTGGCAATCGCTGGGGGTTTGTCCATGTTGGAGTCGACTGTAAGGGGATCATCCAATCATCCTCTGACACGTGGGAGATGTTCCGGAGAGCTGGGATGGAAGAGCTTATTGACTGTGATTTGACAAGTTCATTCTGCTTCTTCTGTGGCATTGCAGGAGGGGCTCTGAGTGCAATATCAGGAGGGTGTTGGGCACTTGTGGTTCATAAAGAATATGCAACTCAAATTTCGATCTATGCTTTTTTGATTGGTTATTTGGTTAGTCGTGTAGCTATGGCTTGGCCACAAGCATGTGCTTCGGCTTACCATGTGGCGTTTGCTGAGAACCCTCAAAGTGCTCGATTTGATGCAACTATTCCATTTAGGTTGCAGGAGCTACATAAAAATCAGCAATCTAACATTTCTGGCGGTGATCATTGAGTAGGACAGAGCACAGTTTGTATATAGTCCTCCCAACAAAATTTTGATAGCAGCAAGAATTCTTTCTTGTAAATATCTGTAACCATGAAATCATTGTGATCATGTCTTGTATACATCAATAAATTGCTTGCAATTGCGCGTTTGAATGTTAGGCGAGGTAGCATTAGCAAGAAAGGACGTTCAGTGTAGGAAGTATATAATTTAAAAGGACGTCATAAACTCCAAGAAAGTTTTCTTGTGGACTTGCTTTCCACCTTGTAGTGCTTGTACTGTGACAAAATGTGCTCACAAAGAGGCAGTGTTTTCCCTAAAATTACATGTGAACTTTTGTCCACGAGACCATAACTTGCAGGGTAGCTAGCGCAACCACGACTATAGTCAAAAGGTAGGTTGTGAATATAGGGATGCTGGCTGCAACGACTATAGTTCATAAATGCATGTAAGAGAAGCATGGTGGTGGACTGGTGGTGTAAGAGCTTTATAATCACTTGTTAACTTGAACCCAAAGAGAATGTAACATTATACATAGTACCTGTACTACCTTTCCCCCTGAATATTAACCGGAATTGAGTTCATTGGTCAAAATCAAATTTGTCAAAAACCGTACAGCATTACAGTGGAAATTACATTTCTAGATTTATCTGGGACGTTTTCATCAGATCATATATTTTATGGGCTACAAAGATAGAAATCAATAGTCAAAAGTTGACATTATTGGAACACCAAATGGTGGATGTGCCTTGTCAATTAAAAACGGGACCTAGGGAAACTGCAAGGAGAAATCCAGACATACGAAGTACAAAATGGAATTTTATGGTGCAGAAAAGATCAAATCAATATTGCAGATTCCCATCGCTTAAACCACGAGGGGTGTTTATCATCTCTAGTAACTGATCCTATCTCAGTTCAGCCCTTGAGAGATAATATGTTATACAATATGTTTGTAAAACAACCTTTTCTCGAAGACTTAGCAACCACATCCATACAACCAGAGGATCAAATTTGAAATCATCAGCAAGTCTGATAAATTTATGATGAGCTTCCTACTGAGTGGTCTTCGATTCATGATTCCTAAATAATATTTGGCACCTGCATAGCATAAACAGTTCAGAAATCAGAAATCTATCAGGAAACTATTCACATGACAGTCGCCAAGTATGGAAAACCTTGAATTAGAGAAAATTTATCATCGTAATACAAAGATGGGATATTGAGATCCAAATAATAATAAAAAAAAAAAGTGTTCTCATCATAATCTGGAGTTTAGTACTTCAGCAACCCACTGGTTGATCTAGGACAGTAAATTCAGCACAAGTCAATTAATTAGTCTTCAGTAGGCGCATCTACTCCTTAAATGAAACACATCAGCTAAGGAAAGAGGCAATGTTAATTCATTGCAAGTTGCGATGAAAAGAGACCAGATTAAAGTTATAATTAGTCCAGCATGAAACACTAACGATAGCATCTCTCAAGAGTCAAGACTACATTGAATACGGAATAACTAACTCTCACTATGTTGAGCTTACATACCTAATTCTGTCCATCAATGATCTCAAAGCTAACTCCAACATCTTAGGCAAACATTTTTTTTTTTTTTTTTTTTTTTTTGAAAAAATAAAAATTAAATTATATTTGTAACACTATACTTTGCAAATTCTCAAAGTTTGATCCCTATGCAGCTTGAAGCGAAGTTTGAGACTAGTAAACTTCGATGGTAATATTATTTTTGAAGATTACAAGCAGCCTAACTATAAAACAACTAACCATCCATGCTATAAAGACACAAACACCTATGCAAAAGATATAAAATTTATGATAGCATCTTCCATAAACAGAATTTACTTTTAACATGGCAAAGCTAAGCAAAAGAAGGGGGTAGGGTTTAAAACACTTTAGACTAATTTTAATCTAAGTAATCCTAATTTACTCTTTGATTAATACTAAAGATTTTTTTTATCATTCCTAAAGGAGGTAGGGTTTAAAACACTTTACCCTAATTTTAATCTAAGTAATCCTAATTTAGTCTATAGAAATAAATAACTAACACCAATAATAATAAAGATAAAAAAAAAAAAGAATATCTAAGCCCATATTAACAAGCCTGAGATAAATTATGCCAATCAACCAATAAAAAACCGTAGTATCCCTCATTTTTAGATGTAAAAAAACCAGACCCGATTATTACAAATATTAACAAAATTAATTATTCCGAGTCTACGTCTCACACACAACATTTAAAGAGTATTAACTGAATACTTATCTCAAGAAGTCAAAGAGTATAATAGGGAATTCAAGATCCAATTCATTCTTTCAAAATTGATTAAACATATTATTTATAAATTACTTTTATTGGATCCTAAATCCACATCAATATATATATCAATACATAAGATTTACGTAGAGAATTGGGCCACCTCTTTCACTGTAATATAGCCTTTATTTTCCCTGATGTTTATCACCTAAGTATATTCTAGTTCAATTACAATGAAATTGAGCTATATGTGGTTTGGTTTCTACTCCATTTGGACTAAAAAACTATTTGGTACAGCTGATAGAATAATTAATATGATACATATATAGGATTAGCTTCTTCCAAGCATGTGAACTATATTTACAGCCATAAACATATAACTTACTGAAACCCAAGACTTTAAAGCCAAAACAAACTTACTCCCACTTTCTCAATCATTATGCAAATCACAACCAAATTGCACAACCATATTCATAGCACAACTATATGCATAGCACCTCTCTGCTTAATGTTGCAGTGCAGAGTCACAAGTCCTTATTAACTCTGTATAACCAGGAATTCAGCTGGGGTAAAACAATGACAAATGAAGACATTCCAAATCCAAAACCCTTAAATACATCCAACAACGTACTTCCAGACTCCTCACTCGCAAAAAGTAATATCTCGACAACCAGCATTTAAAAAAGATTTGTACTAGTTTCTTAAAATTGGAAGTGAGGCACCACAATCCAGAACCACATCTCTTGATGTAATAAGCACACAAATATGTAGGGTCTTCATACTACAATAATGGACTACATCCTTTCTTTGTGCAAATTGTCAGTTCCTTCCAAACTATTGCCAACATGTTTGGATGAAAAGTAGTACATAGAAGTATAAAACTAAGTGAGCATTTAAATTTCTATCTACTTTCTGAAGGTCGAAAGGTGAAAACTTTGCCACAAGTACACCATGGTGGATCAGCTAATCATTCGCAGAAACAACTTTATAACAACAATAGCCAACCAGACTCACAAACAGGAATGAGAGAATTACACTCAAGTAAGAAGTAACAGCTAACCTCATAATATCAAAACGAGACCTAAGAAGATTCAGTCACAGGAGTAGGAGGTTGGTGGCTGACAATGAGTGGAGGACGTAAAGCTCGATGCTTCTCCTGATTTTCCTTTCGAGCCTTATACATCTCTTCAGTCTCAACAACTACCAACCTTTTAACCTGAAACAGATTGAAATCAAATCATTAGGTAGGTATATAACAAACAGAACAACTCAACAGGCATATGATAGTGAGACCTGTTGTATCATTCCCCTAACAGTAGGAGTGTTCCATCTCATAACAGTCCTGTTGCATTTGCCAAGACGCAACGCCTCCAAGGTTCGTCTGTGGAGTTTTCGGGTTCCAGGCATACCCCTCACCAATGTTATATACAAGTTGGGGCTCCATGCAATTGGGACTTGTGCCTTGAAAGCCTTGTATGCACTCATCTCTTTCAATCTATAATACACAATCACAACAACAACAAAGCCTTAGTCCCAAAATGATTTGAGGTCGGCTAACATGAATCGCTGTCCGATATAGAAAAAGAGACATAATAACAAGATAATCAGAAGATCCACTCAATGACATTCTTTTTAAAAACAAAATCAACACTCTTTCAATAACAATAGCAACAAAATCAAACCCTTATTACTAACATTAAAGGGTTTTGCAACACATTAACAACCAAATTTGATTCAATTATCACATAAATGATTTATAGGACTATCAATTTCTAGCAACATAAACGCTGATTATCATCTTTCATAGTCTTAGTAATTAGAAACAATAGCTCAAATTTTCAAACCCTAAACTTATTACTGACAATCAAGTTAAATTAAATAAAACCCTAGATTATGAAATTGACATGATAATTACAAATAGAAACAATAAAATACCTCAGAAGGTGCTTCAATGGGGGATACAAGTATCAGAAGGTGCTTCAATGGAGAACGTCGAGTGCGCTTCAATGGAGAACTGACAATTAAATCCCTTTTTTTTTTTTGTTTTTTTTTTTTTTGGATATTCGTAATTACAGTTCAATGGGTTGGAGGCCCATTAAAAAACCCTAACCCGTCCCAGCTATAATTGGGTCAGCCGTCCAATAATTAAATGGGCCGTCTGAAAATAATTGGGTCAGGAGTCCAACAATTGTAGAAAAGGAAGATTTTTTTTTTAAAAAAAAGGGGCAATATCAAGCAAGTGGGAGAGTATCAAATGACTCCATTTTGCATCATCCTCTTCAGACTAGACTCAACTTATTTTTTTATTTTTGATCTATTACAATGGTTTATTTCGAAATTATAAGATTTTCTTTTTGGTAATTTAATATTATTTCCTCCAAAAAAAATATATTAAAACTGACGACCTTTGATTTAAGGGTTTTGAGTTATATTTTCTCCAAATTTTTTGTTTCTCTTCATGATTGGCGATGGCGAATGAAGAAACTCAAAGAGACACATAGTGATTGATATACCGAAAAGAGATTATATGGATGTAATTTTATCAAATATTTTTGGACTGGCCTATATTTTATGTAGTAGTGTAGATTTTGACCATGCATAATGTATAAGTATTCAACATATGTTTTGTTAATTTCTAACAAAAATAGATATAGGTACATTCTCTCTCCTTCTTTACGTTTAGAATATGCTCAGTTATTTAGGAAAATTAATAAAGTGAGTACATTCAATCATTTTTGTCATCATAATTCATTGGGAGATGGTAAAGGAGACTATTACTACGAGATAGGAAAGGAGAGGAGAGGAGAGAGAAAGTAATAATGAACATTAAAATTAGTGCCCCATCCAATATAAAATTGGAAAAAGTATAATGTTAGAATATACACATTGGATTATAAAGTTGTTGGTTACTTGTATTCCTTGGCTAATGTACTTAGCAGTATAAATATACACAAATAGTATGATGTAATAATATCTTTGTATTTTTTTCTAATATTTTCATTTTAAAGAATACACTACTTCCTTTTCTCTATCCTCTCTTTCACTCTTTCTTCTTCATCTCTCTTTATTGACCAAAACTCAAGCTCTACTTTAATGGATTCCCTCTCTTTCTTCTCTTTTCTTCCTCCTTAGATTCACAAAATTAACACTATCACATGCAAAATTGAGGACAATGTGAGGTAATAAAAAATAGCAGTAAAGTAGTCCAAATTTTATGTCTTAAAATAGAAAAATCCTACTAATGTAAAAAAATAAATAGGAACACCCAAAATGAAAACGTAAAAATAAAAAATAAAAAAATGGAAACGAAGGGAGTAATAGATTTAAATTGGTCACTAGTAGCTAGCACATGTGCTCATTTCATTTTCAAAAAGTGAATATTTCTAGATATCCAAATTGTTATTTTTGTAATTATTTGTTTAGTGTGAAAAATTTGATGTTATTATATGATAATTAATATAACTATAATATAGTTATATTATATTATATTACTAGCATAGTGCCCGTGCAATGCACGGTTTATAAATCAAATTATTAAACCCGTAGGAAAAATAAAAACAGAGGTAATTCAATCACTAATAAAGGACTTGGTTACTAATGGTCAATAAAAAAATTAAAGAACGTTATTTGAATAGTATTTTATGTTATTTGAATTTCTT